CGCCCGACGCCTTCCCCCGCTGACCTCCACCGCCAGCGGGCCGCGGGCGGGAGGGAGCGAGCGAGGGCGAGGTGCCGAAGTTCCGGCAGACGGGGGAGAACATTTCTACCCTGCTTCTCAGCCTCCCTCCCTGCAGGCTGTTCTCCCGGCTCCAAACGGAACCGTGGAAAATTACATGTTTCTACAGTGTTTTCTGAGGGGTTGGAGGTTTGGGTATTTTTTGCTGAGACAGGGACGAGAAGTGAAGCGGCGACCCTCGGGCAGTGAGGTGAGCACAGCCGCTTAGCGTACTGAACTCTGCCAGGCTGCTCCGTCATATTTCGAAACACCAAGAAATTCCCTTTTCTTCACCCCACCGCGAGATCAGGAACTGAAATAGTCTACCCAGAAGCTTTGCAGACTTCAGGAGACTCGAGCTTTGTCCTTTTTTATGTTTTTCTCGTCCAATTTCTCCTTTTACTGCTTCGAGGCTGCTTATCTGGGGGGGGGGAGCCACATTTAGACTTAAACCCTGGGGAAAACCTTGTGCTCACGGACCCCCCCCTTCTCACAGGAGCCTACCCAAGGCTCACAAGCTTCACGGTGCTCCCAGGTCGTGTCCCCCTCCCACCTCCCCTCCTTCACTGCCTTTTCTGAACATGAATAATTCCACAGTACTTCCCATCTGTTATTGCCATAGAGACAGAAGCTCGGCAAAGATAATGATGTTCTGTGCAGAACCGGTGGGGGGAGAACAGCATCTGCGAGTCTGGGGGAATAGATTTTCTGACCGCAAGAATATTCACAAGGCCTGGACCGCAGAGCTGAGGTAGAAGACTAGACAGTCCCGAAACTTGGCACCAGGTCGGCTTTTGGCACCTGGCTCCTGTGACTAGCGAGAAGAAACAATTTTTAGAACCCAAGATGACTGATTTAAGAAGGGAAAAAGAAGTGATTACAAAACTATATTTACTGATAAATGTTTAATGGTCATCAGCCATAAAATTACTGGCTAGCATGTCCAAAGGGCCTAAGAACAAAAATAAATTGGACAGTTAGTAGATTTTTGAGAAATCAAATACATTATGCTTCTCCCTGTTCTTTTTATTAAGCTTTCCGCAGGAGTCTGTTTTGAGGAAAAGATTTTTTTGTGCCGGTGATCGTATGCACTGTAAAATGGTTTGAGAAATAGTGACAAGCAAATTTTGCTGGAACCATTCAAGGTTTAAGGGCAATTTTTTCCAGCTATTCGTCAAAGTTCAAAGTGTAGCACATTAAAATTCACTTTGGCCTTGAATTCCCAAGGTCTTGGCCTCAAAGGTACCCGTTTGAACACAAATGAAACTGAGCAGAGTACATTTACATATATCCAATGCAAATGAGGGGCCCCTTCCAAGTCACATATTTCTAGGCCTATTTAAGGATTTTCAGAAACTATCAGTAAAGTTTAATGTATAAAGTAAAATTTAAAAGATAAAGTGATAATAGTTTTCTATCTCAAAAACAGAATTAAACAGTCACGGAAAGTACAGGCCTGAGAAAAATGAGTACTGTAATGTAATGAGTGTTGTAGTTCCAGGTACTGGTTCAGGTCTTCATCAGTGTTGAAAACTCAACCTAAGTACTGGTCAGTACTCCAAATGGAGTTCACATGGCCTCCTACTAACCTTGGCAGCCAGCAAGGAAGGGCTGATTAAGATCAGAGTGTGCTTGTCTCCAAATGATTGGGGGGAGTGGAGCCGGTTTACCCATGGTTTCATCTTCTTTCATTATGTAGCAGGTACAAGAAAGAGCCAAAGAAAATGGTGCTAGTAGGTAGAAGTGTAGAGTTCCTTCTTCAGTAGTTATGGCTGCCTGGTAATAATAGAAATCAAGAACTGAGAGATTACAAATGTGAAGCCCACCTCCGTCCTGTCCCCTGATAGTTTGGAGGCAAATGCTTTCGTTTTCTAGTAGAAGTATGAAACTGAGAAGAGTAGGAAAAATGTGACATAAATTATTTTTTATTAAAAAGGGAAGAAATGTTAATTGTCATATACAAACACTGGTTTGTGTTTTTGTTTACATCTTCCACTCTTTTCCAAATAGAGACCAGTTGTAGCCTGGTGGTCCTGCCGCCTCTTCTTTCTTGACCACAAAGGCCAATAAATTTGCATGAAGACTTTTTTTAGCAGCAAGTCAGATGCTGGAAGGTCCTTCAGCTTCGCTGAAAATTATCAACCATTTCCTTTACATCTCATTTTAGTCTATCTTTTTATGAATTTTGGTTAAGATGATGATGATGGGGATGCTCTTTGACTTCATCACAGCACTTGCCTCTTTTTCCTTCCTGCCCTTTTGCCTATACTCTTCACTCTCCCGTATTTGTTTAGAACTATAACCCTTGCCATTGCAACGTTCCTCCTTCATTGACTAGGCTTTCTCCCCTGAAGTTTTTCCTCTTATCTTCCAAGTCAGTGGGTCAACAAGCTTCCTTGCCTCACTTTCTCATGCCTTAAAAAGATGAAAACTAAATGTTTAAAGACTTAGTCTTTCTGTGAAGTGTCAGAACACTTTTTTTCAGGTTTAACTCAGACTTTATGAAATTAGAGGGGAAGGAAGAAAGAAAACAAAACTGAACAGCCAGAGAAGGTATGATAGAAAAATCATATTAGAAATGTTCTACCTTTAAATCTTTAAATTGTAAAAAAAAGAATAAATTGATGTAAC